CTGCTTGGTTTTTGGATAGATGTCAGAGCTAGAAAAATCATGTTCTTCAGAGGTGCAAACCATCCTGAGCAGCAGTGGAAAAGATTCTACAAGAAAAGTGTACTGTGCAAAGTAAAACAGATTTGCCATCTGGTGTGATCAATGTAAACTGGCACCTCCAGAGTCTCATATACCTGACATTGTAGACCATATCTTTTAGCAGAAGACCTCAAGTCTCTCACTCAGCTCTCTGAGGGTACATCTAGCAGCTATTAGTGCCTTACCCCTTGTCAAGGTTCCTTCCCCACTCTGAACGCTAGGGTACAGATGTGGGGACCTGCATGAAAAACCTCCTAAGCTTATCTTTACCAGCTTAGGTCAAAACTTCCCCAAGGTACAAAATATTCCACCCTTTGACCTTGGATTGGCCGCTACCACCACCAAACAAATACTGGTTACTGGGGAAGAGCTGTTTGGAAACGTCTTTCCCCCCCCCAAATACTTCCCAAAACCTTGCACCCCACTTCCTGGACAAGGTTTGGTAAAAAGCCTCACCAATTTGCCTAGGTGACTACAGACCCAGACCCTTGGATCTTAAGAACAATGAACAATCCTCCCAACACTTGCACCCCCCCTTTCCTGGGAAATGTTGGATAAAAAGCCTCACCAATTTGCATAGGTGACCACAGACCCAAACCCTTGGATCTGAGAACAATGAAAAAGCATTCAGTTTTCTTACAAGAAGACTTTTAATAGAAATAGAAGTAAATAGAAGTAAAGAAATCACCTCTGTAAAATCAGGATGGTAGATACCTTACAGGGTAATTAGATTCAAAACATAGAGAACCCCTCTAGGCAAAACCTTAAGTTACAAAAAAGATACACAGACAGAAATAGTTATTCTATTCAGCACAATTCTTTTCTCAGCCATTTAAAGAAATCATAATCTAACACATACCTAGCTAGATTACTTACTAAAAGTTCTAAGACTCCATTCCTGGTCTATCCCCGGCAGAAACAGCATATAGACAGACTCACAGACCCTTTGTTTCTCTCCCTCCTGCCAGCTTTTGAAAGTGTCTTGTCTCCTCATTGGTCATTTTGGTCAGGTGCCAGCGAGGTTACCTTTAGCTTCTTAACCCTTTACAGGTGAGAGGAGCTTTCCCCTGGCCAGGAGGGATTTCAAAGGGGTTTACCCTTCCCTTTATATTTATGACACCCCTCACCTTGGGTAGCTCTCCAGTATTTTTCCACCCTTCCACATCTGGGTTCCTGGTTTTTTCTGTATCTGTCTGTGGAAACCTTCTTTTTTGTAGCAATAACATCTGTGAGAACAACTGGGAGAGTTAGGGTTTCTCGTGGCTGATCTCCTCCACCTCCAATACCACAGTCTTTTACTGGGGCAAAGTTTCTCTTAGTGCACAAAATAATGTCCAAATTCTACCTGAATTGGATGATATATTTTACTGGTATTTTTTCCAAACCCTCCCCCCCCCCCATTCATTTTTGATGAAGTCAAGTTACATACTTTAGATGGGCACTAGCCTACTTCCAGAGAATGAAATCATTCTCTAGGTCCCCAAGATTATTCATTTTGTTTGCTGAAAGAATGAAAGGAGTTTAGATATCCACACAGAATCGGCTAAGTGGATTTTGGGTTGCATTACTCTGTGCTATGAATTAGCTAAATTAGTTCTTGTAACCAATATTAATGCTCATTCAACAAGGGCTCAAATGACTGCGATGACCTCTCTGAAAAGTGTTGTCTGTAAGGCTGCCACATGGAGTTCAATACATGCCTTTAAAATACACTATGCTTTGATGTAGGCATCTTCATCAAACATCACTTTTGGTGGAGTAGTTGTTCATTTTGTCTTAAACAGGACTCCAAACACCCACCACCATAGTTAGATGGCTGCTTGAGAATCACACAAGGACAAGCACTCAGAAGAAGACAGGAGAGTTACTTGTCTGTACAGTAGCTGAAGTTCATTGAGATGTGTTGTCCCGGTGTGTATTCCATGGCCTGCTTCCCTTACTCTCTCCTTTGGATTCCTGCTATACTCTCTGTAATCTTCAGTAGAGAAGGAACTGGAGTGGTGGTTAGTCCTGTACTGCACTTTATACCTTCAGTAAAGGGCACAAGGATAGTTAGGGTACATGCCTGGACCAAACAGACACTGCTAGCAAAAAATCTCTGATTTGGGCCCATGTGCACCTGTAAGTGGAATACACACAGGGATAACGCATCTTGAAAAACTCCAGTGATTGTATTTCCCTTTTTTTAAGAAAGCCCAAGCCAACGAGGAACTTTTTAAATCAAAAATAAATGTACCTTTGGAGAGGGATCCCTTCCTCCCTTTTTTTTTTGGTGATAACCCTACAAGTCAGGTGGACCCTCTGCCTTTCATGAGGTCTTGAAGTGTTTATGATGTGCCATCATATTGATTTATTAACATATCACATAGGTTGGGGACATGGCTGACCACAGAATCCCCCAAACACTTGATTTTAGACTGCAAAACTTCACTGTAGGGCTAAGACAGATAACATGGTTGTTGGTAGCATAGTGGGTCATTGAAGAGAGAGGTTAGGGAACTGTAAGAATCTGAAGAAGGATGAGACATGAAGGAAGAAAGTTTTAGAATGTTAGGTAAGGTTTGCAACTTGATTCTCTTATACAAATAACCAAGTACTAAGATAATGCCCTGACAATAAACCAATATTTTGATGTAACAATTCCTTGTAGTCAAAATTAATAGTGTAGATAGCATGTCACTTTAAAAATTGAGGATGCAAATATTATTCCCAGAGTTCATCATTTAAGTCTGTTGCTGTTCCTTTCCCCATATTAGGAAAACTGGTGTTGGTTATTATAAACACGTATAGGGAACACAACAGAATCATTAGGATTTTAGAAATGAATGGAAATTTTAGTAAACTTCTTAAAATTAGAACATTTCTTTCCCTGAAACATTTTCTAAGCAATGGATAAAAGTGATGTATTTTGCAAATAAAAATTAGTGAAGTAATGTGGGACTAAGTAATTTGCACTTAGCATCATTTTTGTAACTATTATTAAAGCAAGATTTAAGCTAGAGCTTCTGGATGATGCTCTAATTATTTCAATATCTTTTTTGGGTCATAAACTTTTCAACTTTAAAACAGATTTATCAGTAGCATAGTAATAGCTCTTTCATACAGTTATGAGTTGAAAGAATATGTATTCACAGGATTTTAGATATGGTATGAAATATTTATCTTCTGTATTGCTAGAAAAGGTGACGTACATTTGACTTCCCAAGTTACCTATTGACCCATGACCCACTGTGACTATTTGCTCTGCTATACATAAATATAACTTTAAACCATTTTGTATGCAATTGGATTTCTATTAAATGTATATGGTATGGGGAAAAAGGTTGGAAATAGGAAACAGGGACTTTATTTTGGTTTTGACACAGGTAGAAAATCAATTGATCATTAAGAGTTGAGTTGATATTGGATTGTGGCCGCAAACTAGTTTCTAGGCCTGTCACAAGTAGGTAGATGATGAGTGTGTCAAAAGGTCTGATCCTGGAAACCTTACTGTTATGAGTAGCCTGTTGAAGTCAGTGGAACTATTTGCATAAATAAGGATTACTTATGTTGTAAGTATGTGTTTTATAAGAGTAGACTGACTAACTGTCCTCCATGTGCCAGGCTGTCAATTGCAGTGTTTATTCTCTTGCTAGTCCCACTTGATGAGGTGTTTACAGAAAATAAATTAAATCAGGACCCAATCCTGAAAAGTGGTTGTCACGGAGTCCCCGGGCGATGCTCTGGAACTGCTCCCCATGAAGCCAGTCAGGACTCTGGGGCAGTCGCCTTTCTGTGAGCAGCCTGTCTTCAGGACACACAGCTCACACAGCTTCCACCTTCCTGGGTCTGACCTCGGAGCATTCAGCATCCTCTGCCCCTCCGTGTGCTTCCCCCCAGCGAGTCTGCTCAGGCGGGGCTCCTGGGGAAGCCAGAGGGTCCTGCCCCCCAACTTCGCAGTCAGACTTGACTCTCAGCCAGCCAGTAAAACAGAAGGTTTATTAGACGACAGGAACATGGTCTAAAACAGAGCTTGCAGGTGCAGAGAACGGGACCCCTCAGCTGGGTCCATTTTGGGGGGTAGTGAGCCAGACAACCACGTCTGCACTTCACTCCATGTCCCAGCCAGCCCCAAACTGAAAACCCCCTCCAGCCCCTCCTCCTCTGGGCTTTGTTCCTTTCCCGGGCCAGGTGGTCACCTGATTCCTTTGTTCTCCAACCCTTTAGCTCTCACCTTGCAGGGGGGGAAGGGCCCAGGCCATCAGTTGCCAGGAAACAGGGTGTCGGCCATTCTCTGTGTCCAGACTCCTGCACACACCTGCCCTCTAGGGCTCTGCAATGATCATACACCCTTACCCCACCCCCTAGATACTTAAGAACTGCCTAGGGGAAACTGAGGCACCCCCACACTATTCAGAGGAAACATTAAGAACAGTCCCACTTCGTCACAGTGGTTAACACCTCTTATGAGTTGCTATGGCTCTTGAGCCTCCACTGACTATACTGAGAATTGTATGTAGTAGTGTTCTAGCTATGTAAGATGGAATTTTCTACCTGGGTAAAAAAGCAAAATAAAGTCCCTGTTTCCAACCCCTTTCCCTTGTACCATATCCATTTAGTAGAAATCCAATTGCATAAAAATAGTTTGAAGTTATATTTATGTATAGCAGAGCAAATAGTTGCATTGGGCTATAGGTCAAAAGTAGCTTGGAAAAATCAAATGTCCATGCCACCTTTTTCTAGCTGGAAAGCTTGTCTCTCTCTCACCAACAGAAGTTGGTCCAATGAAAGATACTGCCTCACCTACCTTGTCTCTATTATGAGAACTGTGGGTTCTCAGCACTTCACAGAATTGCGTCTTATTGGGTGATATGTGTTACAATCATAATGTTTAATTATGTGCCTTTTATATGTTCCTTACTTTATGTTGCCTTTCATTAAAGGTGCCCAGCTGTTGGTTAAACCTTTGGTAAAAGAAGATGGAGGAAAAATAGATGGAAATCAAAATTTATATCTTGTTGGAGCCTCTCACTTAAGGCTGTTGCTGGGAGCTGAAACTGTGGGATTGGTAAAACAATGTAATGATAACTCAATGAGAACCTTTACATACAGCAGTAGAAACACCTTCAAAGATTTTGCAGGTAAAGTGCCTTTAGCGTTTTAAGACAATTTCTGAATCATTAAAAAGATGTGGTCAAAGATTATAGGTGCATAAGCACACAGTTTAACTAGTCAAATATTTTATTGTCTTTCTGTTTTTTGGAATAGTAAAAGCTAACAGATGTAGGTGGAATAAGCCACTGTCTATGTAATCCTTTTGACCTTTGAACATACAGATTAATTCCACAATGAAGTCTGAATTTCCTGTCTCTGGATGAGTCACAATCTTGTAATGTGCCTGTGCTTTTAGTTCATACTTTTTCATCTGATGTATCTGTATATTCATTTATTGATATGACAGTTTATAATAAAGTTAACAAGGACCTTAAATTTGTTAGTAATATGTACCTGATTAACACTATCTAAAGTATTAGTTAATATTGCCTCCTTTTCTGATTTAAAAAAAAAACTGTGAAAAGCAAAATTTTGGGGTTAACTGCATCTCAATTAGCTGGAAAAATGGGAGTATTTTGATCCATTATGTTTGTACATCAAGCAATTGGTCACTAGCATGGGAATGATAGATTTCATGTTTGTATTTTTTAGATTGGGAGTTAATTGGGGAAAGGTCCATTCCTTCCTTTGTGTTTGAATATTGTGGGCATTACCAAGAATAATAATGCATTGCTTTAAGGATACCACATGCAATGATTCTTTCTTAGGGGTCTTAGCTCTGTAGTGCGAGATTGGCAGAACTCTTGCTTTCCAAGGAAGTACCAGAGTTTCATCTTAAATTAGCCTATTGTCTTATCAGCATTTTTTTACCTGTCCATTTCAATGAGGCCCTTCTCCGTATTTTCTGTGTCAAAAGGCTCTTGGGGTTCTGTTTAGCATCACTGAAACCCTTAAACATTGATTACATTTTTTGCATGTTTTGACATCATTTTGCTGGACAATGCTATTACCAAGATGACCATGTCCAAATAGTTGTTACAGTGCATTTCTTTTTGTGGTCTGGCTGTCCTGAAATTGGAAGACCATGCCAAGGCTCACTTGATCAGAGGCAAGGTAACCACTCCTGCTTTTCTTGTAGATGTATATATTTATTTAGATTTATAAAGGTGCTAAAAAGGGTGCCTGTCTGTATGTTCTTGGTGTCTTAGGATGTCTTTTTTTAAGTTACATCAAAGTGCAGCAATTCCCCACCCTTGCAGTTCTCCCCACCCCTTATTTTCAAATGCCTCTGAAAAAGATGATCATTGTGACATGCCCTGAAGATCATCCAATTTAAGTAATTACATACCAAGGCAGGGAGTGCATTTCAGAGCTGTTGGGCTTTCACAAGGAGTGCTCTGCCAGCAGTGTGCTTTCATTTATACTATGAGGGCTGTAGCTTAAGCACTTTTGCTGATCTCAACTGTGGCGTATGGAATGGGGAGAAAGGACCTACCTACCTGAGGGAGAGCCTAATTTGGAACTTTAAAATAAAAAATGCACCTTTAATTTCGGATGGAAATTCACGGCCAGCCAGCACAGATTGTGAAACATAGATTTCATGTGCTTGTGGCAAGATGCTGCATTTATTAGTTAGGCTGCTGTTGCCTGCCAAAGCTGCAGTATCTGGATGGGTTTAAGGAGTAGCCCCACATAGAGTTCATTGCAGTAGTCTAATCTTGAGGTGACAAAAGGATGGGCAACAGTCGTGAGATCCTTATCCAAAAGGAATGATATAATTTATTTACAGCCAGGAGGTTAATAAGAAACTGAGCTGGTTGTTGTTGCTATTTAATCTTCTAGTAGCAGCTGGGAGTCCAACTAGACCTCTAGATTGCAACCCTGACCAACAAATGGTGGATGCAAACCCTCAATCAAAAAGGTAGACCTCTTTCACCATATCCTCCAGTTGCTTCCCTCAAATATCACCTCAGTCTTGTCTGGATTAAGCCTCAACCAACTATTCATGCCCCAGTCTCACCAAGATATGGAGTAAGATCATTGACTGTTTTGGTTGGATCACATCAAATGAAAACATAAAGCCGTGTGTCATCAGTATATAGAAATTTATAGCCCATATGTTCTTACTAAGCCTTCTATTTATAAAGTCCTGTTCTCACTTCTGGCATTAGTCTTGTTAAGTTGTCTCATTGCAACTTTACTTAGTATTCTGTTAGGACATCCTTCTAGGTTCTTAGGGCTTGTCTACATAGTCTGGACTATGGAGCTGTGAATTGTAGAGCACTTTAAAGTGCTGTGCTTCAGTTGCCCGGTGTAGCATGAATTAAAAGGTACCTACTTTGCATTAACATAAATTAAAAATGCAGTTGGATGGTATCTTCAGAGAAGGGAAAGTTATTTGTAGTCCTGCTTATCTGAAGATACAGTAGCAACAGGATTCCCACTAAACCCCCTTAGAGTTTGGGATTTTTTTTTTTAAGGTATCTCCTTACTTAGGTCATGATTAATTATTTTGAATTGGTTCACCATTCTGTTACATTCACCTGCTGTGCAACAGAAGATAGTATTTATATCCAGCAGGGTTGGTGTGAAATAGTTGCTAGGGGGCCTTTTTTGTGCACTGACATACTGCTGCTGCCCTCAGAGGTCACAATTCTGTAAGAGCTGAGACATCCTGCCTGTCTTTCATTATGGTGCTAAAACCTGGGAGTGAGACATTGTCAGAATTATATCTTCAGAGAAACATAATTGCAAGTGGGTATTATTCTTCCTTTTGATGTTCTCAAGTCATATAGGTAGACTAAATATAAAGTAGCTGAAATGTGCTTATCATTGAAGGCTTTTAGGAGGCAGGAGTTTTCTCTCAAAAATGTGTGATCGAATAATATTGGTGTACAGTATTTCTTTTCTGAACTTGTTGGTCTTTAGTACCTATTTTTGTCCCCAGCGTCTTAAGCAATTATCTCCATTAGATTTTTTTGGTATGCTAAGGAAAGGGCATTATGAATCATTTTCTTTCTGATTTAGAGGACAATCACGATTTCCTTACAATGGCAGAGTGTCAGTACATCATCAAGCACGAACTTGAAAATTTGAGAGCCAAAGATGAAAGAATGATTCCTGGGTACCCTCAGGCAAAGCTGTATCCAGGAAAATCAATTTGTAAGTGATTTAGTTTGATATTCTTAATTGATTGCTCCGAATAATATTTGAAACATATTGCTCATCGTGAATATGTAAGGTAACGGGGATGTTCACAACTTCCTGTAGCCATGAGTAATCCCTCAAAAGTTAAAAGGACTCCAGAACTACTCCACTGTATCTTTTTATTTTTCTTCATCTTTAAGAACTGGAGTAGTGTAAAGAAACGAAGGGTTATTTTTTTTTTTTATAAACTTCAACTAGTGGTCTTCTGAAAAGATAAATGGATGTATAAATGTATAAATAAATGGATGAATAAATGCTGTATGATAGTTGGGAAGCAAATTTTTAATTATTCACATTTCTAATCAACTTAGTGATTAGATTCTTCAATCTTTTTAGTTTAATGTGCAAACCTTCTTATTACCATGAAAAATTTGAGTGTTACAATAAATAGACTTTAAAAGCATGTTGAAGATCTATATGTAGTGAGACAAATTCTTGCCTTTTGAGGATCTGCATGCAGAAATGTTAGATTTTCACAAATGTCTGCAAAGCATAATGGATTTGTAACCTCTTGCAAGCGCCCCCTTCTGGTCGGGTGTGTCTGCAGTCTCTTCAGTTTATGGTGACCCCGTCAGTGATTTCTCAGGTGGCTTTTGGCTGAGTCACACACATTGTGTGTGAAACAGAACCACCCCCTTCTGAGATGTACAGTCTTTAACTTATCCTGGCTCTAGTATGGGGCCAGACCCCCATGGCATCCTCCCTAGAAACACTGTCTTCTTGTGGTCCTCCCTCAGCTTGGTCCTTACTTAGTCCCAGCAGCCAGCCAGGAGCTCCTTTCCTTCTCCGGTTCCCAATCACACTGAGCTGTCCATGGTCCTGCTGCTCTTTCAGACAACCAGGAACTCAGGCTTATCTCCTCCAGCTCCAGGCAGCAACTGACTACTGCTCTGTTCTGCACCTCCTTTTATATGGCCCTGCTGGGCCCTGGTTGGCTGCTCTCTGCAGCCTCTCTCATTGGCTGCTTCTCTGCAACCAGTCTAGGCCACTTGGAGGACTTCTCATTACAACAGAGAATTCTCATTACAACAGAGACTCACCCTGCCTATGAGTAAAGACAAAATATTGTTTCATATAACAGAGAGTCAGAAAAGGCACTCTGTATCCTTTCACTGAGGAGATGTCTAGGGTAGCAGGGATGTTCTCAGAAAAAATTGGATCCTGGTTCTTATGAAGCCAGCCAGCTCTGCCACATACTGAACTCTGGGGGGAAACCTACTTTATTAAGTAGAAAGCAACTAGTAATAAGTGTAGACCCATGTTCAAGTTTTATGTTTTTGTTTTGTATTATAACCATTTGTTTCCACCACACTTTCTAGTTAGGTTTATTCAAGAAAGAATGGAGAGCTATGTTTGTTTTATTATAAGTGCTCACAAGTGCTGTGTGATTTTACAGGAGCAGTGATTTAAGGTAAAACTGCTTATTGGGGTACACTGGTCCTTTGGGGGCAGAGGATCTGGGATTTCTCTGAGTACCAGTGTCAGGGGTAGGATATCACAGAGGAGCAATTCAAAGAGATTCAGGGATGGGGGGTGCACGTATTGTTAACCTGCAAGGCAAAGATAGGGCTGCCATAGCCCAAAGGAGAATTCTTGCGTGGCTGAAAGGCTGCTGGTATCAGGGAGCTAACACCCAGCCACTACGGCATGTTTTGGTCTTGGGTGCCACAGGAACCATCACAAAGCACACTAGTGGGAAAGACAGCAGGTGCAGATTGAAATAGGTGCAGAGCATCTATTTACATTAATTAATTTACTCACCATTTATGAAAAAATACTCATGCTCTGTGGGTAGAAGATGACAACCTGTAATTTTCTGTTTCTGTTAGCAAATTGCAGACAATGTGAACTATATTAATTTTCCAAGGAATAGATGTTACATGTTGTTGCTTTGGAAGGATTGTGTGATAAAGTATCTTATTTGATGTGGTTCACTTTAGATAATGATGTGTTTGGATTGTCTCCTTATGAAAGTATCAGAAAAAGTAATAGTTTTTACAGAGCCACTAGTATTACATTACTGAGAAAGGAAGTTTGGTTTCATTTGCAACTCTTTAAATCATCCTTGGTAGATCATTTTTCCTCTGACTCGAGAGCTCTTCTATTTCATGGGGGAAGGGAGCAATAAGAGAGTACTATTTTTAGGAAAGCTGGAACTAGACCATTGGCACATAAGTTGTTTTCTAAAGAAATGTACCATATCTTTAATATCTGTGGATCATTAGAGTTTGTTTTTATATTTCAATGTTAATGTCTACAGAATAGAAAGATTTGTGTCTTCTAATAGCTCAACAAATGTGTATAGAAGATTAGTTGTAAATGTCAGAGGTGAGACTGAGGGTATGTTTATACCACAGCGGTGATGTTTCAGCTGTGATGCTGTAGTGCTATAGTTTAGACACTTCCTCCATTGACAGAATGAGTTTTTCCATCAGTGTAGGTAATCCACCTCTCAGAGAGGCAGTAGCTAGGTCGATGGAAGAATTATTTGCTTTTTAATCCATTTTCCCAGGCTCATTCTCAAATTCCAACCCCCTGAGTACCTTATATTGATGTGCACATAACATAAATAGTACTTGCTTTCTATAATAAAAATTCAATACAAATTTATGATATAATATGGGATTTTTTTCTATAATGAAGAGAGCATTCGGATTTGGCTACTTTGCAATTTAAGAAGAAATTTCCCACAAGAAATGGAATAATATTAAAAAAGCAACAGCTATTTCTTTAGTTTGGTTTTATAGGCTTAATTTTTTAAAAAATATTAATAATTTTTGGTGCTCATGAAAATAACAATAAGTTCATCAGCTAGAGCCAGGCACAGTGGCAGGTGCTGTTAAAGCTTCCCCACCTGGGTATATGACTGCATTTCAGTTCTGACCTGCTACACCACTTGCTGTTCAAGACACAGAAACTACCAGCCTGTGGAGTAGTTTGTATGATGAGATGGATATCAAGTTTCTCTTGGAGATAACATTTAAGCCCAGGTCTTTGTTGGGGCGTTAACCAATTAGGCACCTCCTATATTCTATAATGTTATATTAATACATAAGAATTTTTAAATGCACATATTATGTGTATTATAAGGATTTAAATATCAAGTTAGTTGTTTTTTTCAAACATTTTTTAGGCTTGCTAGTTATAATGTAACCCAGTGCAAGCATGCTATCTGTACTATGACTTCACAGGAGCAATGTAAGCATAGCTTTCCCCATTTTCTTTCAGTGAGAAGATTGTTGACCAGTGGTATCCTACTTCAGATTTTCCCACTTCATGATACAGAAGAATTGAAGAAACTCCGGTACACCTGGTATGGCCAGGTCAAAATTAGTTATCAACCTTTAGGTATGTTAGCACTTATTTCACTGAAAAAAATAAAATGTCTCGAAACCAGAAGTGGCTCCAGTGGTGGTGAGCTTTTGAGAAGCTAGCTGCCCTTTTTTAATCAAGAGAGCTGTCTCTGAGTACAGACTTCCGATCCTGCTGTCTCACTTTATCTAAACTATCTCCCTGAAACTTTTGGATGATTGGCAGTTGCCTGGTAGCAGGTTTAGAGAAGTTATAAATGTCTGATTTGTTTTGGGTTAATGAACTTCCAAAGTCCATTTGCCAATGCTTTGGAGATTGAACCCTGCGACAGAAGGTCTTCTGGTTTGTATCCCTCTTTAACAACAACCCAACAACAACAAAAAAACCCTGGAAAATTAAATGTAGGAAAGAATACATTTAATGCAGTGTTAAAGTTTCACAGTTAAACACTCAAAAGTAAGGAAATGCCATAGTTAATTATAGTTCAGTTTGAGCAATAACAGTTCAACCATCTTTGAATATGAGGAGAATGTTGGGGGAAAAACATTTTCCTCATCGTAAAAAGGAATTCTTACAAGTGTATTTTTAACAGCTCTAGTGCCAATGTAGCTGAGGAGAGAAAGTTAAAATCTGTTTTTGATTGCTGTTCTGTTCTGATTTTTAAATCATGCCCATCACAATGGTATATGAGCACCCAGTTATGAATTAGCAGAGTTATGAGGGTTTGAAAATTGTACTTCAGGCATACATAGTACTTTCAATACATTTTTTTTTTAGCATTTCTTACCAATCTTTTAAGTGATGGATGCATAATACTATTTATACATACATGGAAATGTAACTACGTATTGTACTGAGAAGGAGAAGAATGCTCTTTCAGTTGGATACTATAGTTATAAAGTGTGACTTGTATGAGGCAAAGCTTTGTCATGGACTTTGTTTTTCTGGCACACGCAGAATAGTACAAAATAGAAGATGCTACACTTTGATATAAGATTGTAGAAAAAATGTTTGATATTTGAGAAATTACATCCTATTGTAATAAATTATATGCTATTGTAATGTATACATGCAAATGCATGGGGTCATGGAAGATCGGATATCCATTCTTAAATTCAGCATTTTTATTGTACTTTTGAGTAGTTAACTGTGTGTAAGCTTAACGTTTAAGATCTTTCAGTAACTGAAGAAACTTAAATGATAGAAATTCTCATGATTGCTTCAGAACATTTAATCTCTCAGCTGAAGTAAAAAAAATCCACATAGTTAGAACAAGTCTTTGCCCAGGCTAAAGAACATCTTTTGGGCTGGGTGGTTCTCCATGATCTTTCCACATTAAGCTCAGTCCTTCATAGCTGCAACAGGCCTCTGCTTAGGCTAAGCTTTTTCCAGTCTTTTGCAGGGCTGGAGCAAATCTTTCCAGCTGGGCAGGCTTCTAGGGTAACCTCAGTCCAAGGCTAACAGGCTCTTTCAAAGCTGAGGCAAGCTTTGTAGATTCCAAGTCTTGCTCCTCACTAAACTCCAGCAAACTCTCCTCCCCCCCCCCCCCCGTCGTATTAGACTCTGATCAGCAGTCACTCTGTGACAGACCACTCTGTCACAATGCCATTTCATAAAGACAATATTTTAATACATGTAAGCAGAGGCTCTGCAAAAATTCTGTGTTAGCCTTAATTTTGGCATTTCTTTACTTTTGAATGCCTAACTCTGCAATCTTAACTTTGCAATAACACAGTGTTTTGCAATCAGTAATTCTTTAATTGATGTTAGTATTTTGTTTCTACTAGATATTTAATGCTATAGTTGTAGCTGCTAAAATAAGCTGTAGTTACAGCTTTCCTACTAATGTTTTTTTTTTTTCAAATATACCTTCTGGTAGTTTTGGAGGTGTGGTAAGAATTACAGAGAAGTAATGATACTTGTTTTCTCTGTTTAGGAAACTGAAATTTGGGCCATTGTCTTAATCTGAAACTTAATTTCATATTACACTGAGAACTATGTTGGGAATTATTTAACATAATCATTATCTACACTACCACGTGGGGTCGATATAAAATACGCAACTTCAGCTACATGAGTTGCATAGCTGAAGTGGACATACTTACTGCGGTGTCTTCACTGTGGTAAGTCGACAGCTGACGCTCTCCTGTTGATTCTGCTTGCGCTTCCCATTCTGGTGGAGTACTGGAGTCAACGGGAGAGCACTCAGCGGTCGATTTATCACGTCTATACTAGATGCAATAAATCGACCCCCAATGGATCGATCTCTGCCCACTTATCAGGCGGGTAGTGTAAACAAGGCCTCTGATGGTTTGGTGAAATGGATAAGTTGTTTACTTAGTGGTAATATCTGAAAGGAAATCTTGTCTTCAATGCAACCAGTATGACATAGGTACCTAATGTTCACTCCTTCTTTTAGTGTGCCAGTCAGGTAACTCTTTTGTGTCTTTAGAAGATAGTACAGTTCCTATTGAAGATTTTAGTACTTCTGTCGCAGAATATTTTAAAAGCTTTGTGTGCTTTGAAAAATACGTTCTTTTGGTGTTTTCCCCCTTGCCTTGGCTTAGTTTTTTTTTCTCTCTCCACAGATGAAATCCGTTGCTATTTTGGTGAAACGATTGCTCTGTATTTTGGCTTCTTGGAATACTTCACATTTGCTTTGGTTCCTATGGCTCTCATTGGGATTCCTTACTATGTGTTTGCATGGGAAGACTATGACAAGTATGTGATGTTTGCCTCATTCAATCTGCTTTGGTCTACCGTGATCCTTGAAGTTTGGAAGCGCTGCTGTGCTATTATGACTTACAGATGGGGGACACTGTTGATGAAGCGGCAGTTTGAGGAACCGAGGCCAGGATTTCATGGGGTTTTGGGAATCAATGCTGTCACTGGCAAGGAGGAGCCGGTATACTCAAGTATTAAAAGACAGATACGAATTTATCTGGTGTCTTTGCCATTTGTGTGCCTTTGCCTCTATTTTTCACTGTATGTCATGATGATTTACTTTGAGTTGGAGACTTGGGCTCTGGATTTTCATGAGGAGAATGAGTCGTCTTATAGCAACTTAATGCTATTTGTGCCCAGCATCATTTATGCTATTGTGATTGAAATGATGAACCGCGTCTACCGATATGCTGCAGAATTCCTAACATCATGGGGTAAGACTTGGTTTTTTTTCTTTCTACTTTTCTTTTATGTGAGAAAGTAAGAAGCCCAAATAATTAAAATAAATGTATATAAACACATTTCCGAATGAGGAAGGCATTTCCTAAACTTACTGCTGTGTACATAAAGAAAACTGTCTGGACAAATCCATGGTTTAGTTGCGCAGGAGCATCCACCCCACACTGGCAGAGAAGGGGTTAAAAGCAGCCTAGGGAGGCTGTAAAGGGAGCAGCCAATCAGGGCCCAGCAGGCTTATATAAAAAGAGCTGCAGGGCCAGAGGCGGTGAGGTGTTGCAGGAAGCCCAAGGGGGGCTAGCACATTGGACAGGGTAGCTGCTAGCAGAGACCAGGGGAGCTAGGGAGAGAGCTTCTGGCTGGCTGCGGGGACTTGCAGGCTCGAGACCCTGAGAAGAGGGCAAAGAAAGTACTGGGGCCGTGGGAAAGTGGCCCAGGGAATTGAAGCAGCACCGGTGAGATGTTAAGGAGGGCTGCTAGCTACAGGGTTCCTGGGCTGGGATCACTTGCTGCTGGGAAGTGGCTGGACTGTTGGACAGCGATACCTTCCCCCCCGAAAAGAGGAAGCACAGACAATGACCTAGTCGAAGGGCTGAGTCAAGAAGAAGACGCTGCGGTTTGGGGAGCTGAGAGAGGAGCCATAGGCAGGAGCAGAGAACGAGTGTTGGTGTGCAGACCGTGGATGTGGGTGTTGGCCTTGAGCTTATCTCCAGCATGACCAGGAGGAGGCACCAGTCTGGTGATGGGGGCTGCACCCCATGACAAAGATATGTTATCAGGACTTCTTCTTTGAGTGCTTGATCATATATATAAATTTTCATTCCAGTCTTAGCGTGCATTTGCCCCACACACTCGAGATTAAAGACTTTTGGCCATAAGTGTCCATTGGATCCACTCATATTCTCTGAGTTCCCTTGTGGTCCTGTACCAATGTCCTGTACCAATGCTCCTGCCTCATACTGAGAATGAGGGGCGATCAACAGGTTATCTCAAGTGCTTATATACAAATGCACAAAGCCTTGGAAACAAGCAGGGAGAACTGGAGGTCCTGGTGATGTCAAGGAACTATGACGTGATTGGAATAACAGAGACTTGGTGGGATAACTCACATGACTGGAGTACTGTCATGGATGGTTATAAGCTGTTCAGGAAGGACAGGCAGGGCAGAAAAGGTGGGGGAGTAGCACTGTATGTAAGGGAGCAGTATGACTGCTCAGAGCTCCGGTACGAAACTGTAGAAAAACCTGAGTGTCTCTGGATTAAGTTTAGAAGTGTGTGCAACAAGAGTGATGTAGTGGTGGGAGTCTGCTATAGACCACCGGACCAGGGGGATGAGGTAGATGAGGCTTTCTTCCGGCAGCTCACGGAAGCTACGAGATCGCATGCCCTGATTCTCATGGGTGACTTTAATTTTCCTGATATCTGCTGGGAGAGCAATACATCCCGATGAGTCGAAAGAATAGTAAATATGGCAGGCGACCAGCTTGGCTTAATGGTGAAATCCTAGCAGATCTTAAACATAAAAAAGAAGCTTACAAGAAGTGTAAGGTTGGACATATGACCAGGGAAGAGTATAAAAATATTGCTCGGGCATGTAGGAATGATATCAGGAGGGCCAAATCGCACCTGGAGCTGCAGCTAGCGAGAGATGTCAAGAGTAACAAGAAGGGTTTCTTCAGGTATGTTGGCAACAAGAAGAAAGCCAAGGAAAGTGTGGGCCCCTTAATGAATGAGGGAGGCAACCTAGTGACAGAGGATGTGGAAAAAGCTAATGTACTCAATGCTTTTTTTGCCTCTGTCTTCACTAACAAGGTCAGCTACCAGACTGCTGCGCTGGGCATCACAAAATGGGGAAGAGATGGCCAGCCCTCTGTGGAGATAGAGGTGGTTAGGGACTATTTAGAAAAGCTGGACGTGCACAAGTCCATGGGGCCGGACGAGTTGCATCCGAGAGTGCTGAAGGAATTGGCGGCTGTGATTGCAGAGCCATTGGCCATTATCTTTGAAAACTCATGGCGAACGGGGGAAGTCCCGGATGACTGGAAAAAGGCTAATGTAGTGCCAATCTTTAAAAAAGGGAAGAAGGAGGATCCTGGGAACTACAGGCCAGTCAGCCTCACCTCAGTCCCTGGAAAAATCATGGAGCAGGTCCTCAAAGAATCAATCCTGATGCACTTGCATGAGAGGAAAGTGATCAGGAACAGGCAGCATGGATTCACCAAGGGAAGGTCATGCCTGACTAATCTAATCGCCTTTTATGATGAGATTACTGGTTCTGTGGATGAAGGGAAAGCAGTGGATGTATTGTTTCTTGACTTTAGCAAAGCTTTTGACACGGTCTCCCACAGTATTCTTGTCAGCAAGTTAAGGAAGTATGGGCTGGATGAATGCACTATAAGGTGGGTAGAAAGCTGGCTAGATTGTCGGGCTCAACGGGTAGTGATCAATGGCTCCCTGTCTAGTTGGCAGCCGGTATCAAGTGGAGTGCCCCAAGGGTCGGTCCTGGGGCCGGTTTTGTTCAATATCTTCATAAATGATCTGGAGGATGGTGTGGATTGCACTCTCAGCAAATTTGCGGATGATACTAAACTGGGAGGAGTGGTAGATACGCTGGAGGGGAGGGATAGGATACAGAAGGACCTAGACAAATTGGAGGATTGGGCCAAAAGAAATCTGATGAGGTTCAATAAGGATAAGTGCAGGGTCCTGCACTTAGGACGGAAGAACCCAATGCACAGCTACAGACTAGGGACCGAATGGCTAGGCAGCAGTTCTGCGGAAAAGGACCTAGGGGTGACAGTGGACGAGAAGCTGGATATGAGTCAGCAGTGTGCCCTTGTTGCCAAGAAGGCCAATGGCATTTTGGGATGTATAAGTAGGGGCATAGCGAGCAGATCGAGGGACGTGATCGTCCCCCTCTATTCGACATTGGTGAGGCCTCATCTGGAGTACTGGGTCCAGTTTTGGGCCCCACACTACAAGAAGGATGTGGATAAATTGGAGAGAGTCCAGCGAAGGGCAACAAAAATGATTAGGGGTCTGGAACACATGACTTATGAGGAGAGGCTGAGGGAGCTGGGATTGTTTAGCCTGCAGAAGAGAAGAATGAGGGGGGGATTTGATAGCTACTTTCAACTACCTGAAAGGGGGTTCCAAAGAGGATGGCTCTAGACTGTTCTCAATGGTATCAGATGACAGAACGAGGAGTAATGGTCTCAAGTTGCAGTGGGGGAGGTTTAGATTGGATATTAGGAAAAACTTTTTCACTAAGAGGGTGGTGAAACACTGGAATGCGTTACCTAGGGAGGTGGTAGAATCTCCTTCCTTAGAGGTTTTTAAGGTCAGGCTTGACAAAGCCCTGGCTGGGATGATTTAACTGGGAATTGGTCCTGCTTCGAGCAGGGGGTTGGACTAGATGACCTTCAGGATCCCTTCCAACCCTGATATTCTATGATTCAATGGTTTAAAGGACAGTGCAGGACCTGTTGCCACTTGGTTCCTTCTCACCACCTGTGTGGCTTCAGATGGACCTCCCAATGTCTGCACTGACTCTCCCTTTGTTAATGATTTTTGGAATCAATTATATATTAGTGTTTGTTGTTTGGTTGGTTAGTTGACCATTGGCACCTCCCCATTTTTTGATAAATTATAGTTAGTTTTTGGGAAATCTTGTTAGTTCTTCCTTCCCTTGTATATGTTCCCCACCAGACTTTCTCTGGTACTTTAGGAAGTCACATCGAAAGTCACTTGGATTCAAATACTACCCCTCTTGTGAGGCAACAGTTCCAGTTCTTGATGGGCACATGAGGTGTCATAGAATCATAGGACTGGAAGGGACTTTGAGAGATCTTCTAGTCCAGTCCCCTACTCTCATGGCAGGAGTAAGTATTATCTAGACCATCCATAATAGGTGTTTGTCTAACCTGCTCTTAAAAACCTACAGTGAAAGAGATTCCACAAACTCTCTACGCAATTTATTCCAGTACTTAACTACCCTGACAGGAAGTTTTCCCTAATGTTCAACCTAAACCTCCCTTGCTGAAATTTAAGCCCATTGATTCTTATCCTATCCTCAGAGGTTAACAAGAAATTTTTTTCTCCCTCCTCCTTGTAACAGCTTTTTATGTACTTAAAAGCTGTTATCATGTCCCCCCTCAGTCTTCTCCTCTCCAGACTAAACAAGCCAATTTTTTCAGTCTTCTCTCATAGGTCATGTTTTCTAGACCTTTTGTTGCTCTCCTCTGGACTTTTCTCCATTTGTCCACATCTTTCCTGAAATGTGACACCCAGAACTGGACACTTGAGGCCATATCAGTGCAGAATAGAGTGGAAGAATTGCTTGTTTTGTCTTGCTTACAACACTGCTGGAAATACATCCAAGAATGATGTTTCCTTTTTTTGCAACAGTGTTACACTGTTGTCTCATTTGTAACTTGTGATCCACTATGACCCCCAGATCTTTCTGCAGTGTTCCTTCCAAGGAAGTCATTTCCAATCTTCTGTCTGTGCAATTGATTGTTCCTTCCTAAGTCGAGTACTTTGCATTTGTCTTTATTGAATTTCATCCTGTTTTCTTCAGACCAAACCATTTCTACAGTCTGTCTAGATCATTATGAATTTTAATCTTATCCTCCAAAGCACTTGTGACCCCTCCCAGTTTAGTATTGTCCTGAGACTTTATAAGTGTACTCTCTCGGCCATTATCTAAATCATTGATGAAGATATTGAACAGAACTGGACCCAAGATCAATCCCTGTGGGACCCCACCCTTCTATCTTGACTGTGAACCACTGATAACTACTCTCTGGGAATGGTTTTCCAACCAATTATGCACTCACCTTATAGTCGCTCCATCTAGGTTGTATTTCCCTAGTTTGTTTATGAGAAGGTCATGCAAGACTATCAAAAGTCTTACTAAAGTCAAGATATACCACATCTACCGCTTCCCCGTCTATCCACAAGCCTTGTTATCCTGTCA